AACACCTCTCCATCCAAGGGGAAAAGATCAGATTCCAGTTTATGCAAACAGAGCCCAACTTAGATCTGTGGAATGCCCCGATCATATTGATGTCAAGTTCTGACAGTAGCCCGCAAATTGATTTCCACAAACTGCGTCAAGTGGCCCAGCAGCCCAGATCAGATGCGGGTCAAGTGGTCAAGTTGCGCCACAACAGATCGAGCAGCCGAGCTGCCAACAGGTAGACTATATAAAGCGCCTGCCTCGGGATCGTATTGCTGTTCATTCATGACTTCTTGTCGATTGCTATTTAAAAAAAGCTTCGACTGATCCGCCTCTAATGATCGCCGCCCCTCCCCCAACACACAAGCATGCCCACCTGCCCCCCGTCCAAGCAAACAACAAGAAAATCTTTAACAAACAAACAATGAATTATAAGGCTTTCAATAATGCTCATGGTTCAGGTCGAGTCGTGCAAAGGGTGGGTGGGGAAACGCTTGGCTGCTTTGCGGCACGTTGCCTAACACACACATACACACACACAAGCACACACGCATGCACACTTACTCACACGCACACACAGGCAGCTAGACGAATATGTGTGTAACGTGAAATGCTCTCACTTTCCTTTGAAACTTGTTATTCGCATTGCAGCTGCCAGCAGAGTTCATTCACATTTGGCAGCCAGACCAAGAGAGCAAAAGCAAGAGAGCGTCGCATTGAGAGCTCAACGTGCAGGTGATAGAAACAAATAGACTGTCAGAGCGAGAGAGCGAGAGAGGGCGAGAGGCAGCTCGAAACTGGCACAGCTGTTCCCGAAAGTTCTTCGCACAAAGCAAAGCCCGAATTGGCCGCAGTTCGTTTGCGGGGGCCGTGAGGCATTGAAATGAGTGCAAATTGTCGCTGCTGAGTGCATTGAACTCTCGCTCACCGAATGGGGCTCGAGTTATGTTTTACTCAATTAGTGTTTGTATTGTATTGCTGATAATTATATAATGCTCAAACTGCAGCTTGAGCATATCGCCGAATGCTGGCCGATGGCCGATGGCTGTTGGCTTACGGCTGATGGCTGATGCAATTTTCCGGGCCTATCCCAAGCCACTCAAGCTACATTTTTAGCGTATTGCATTGCCAAAGATTTCCTTGAACGCATTTTAGCCATAGAGTCGCCGTTGCATTTGCCGTTGCCCGCCCCTTTGGGCCAAGCCCACAGCACAACATGCAGTCGTCGTCCGCCTGAGGTTTCTGTGTCGTTGACCGACCGCCAGCTAAAATGAACTCCAAACCAAAAAGCTAAACCAATGGCTTGCAAACTGCAGCAGCAGCAGCAGCGTCGACCGACAACAACAACAACAAATTTGCATGCAAATGCACTGAGAGAGCGCTGAGCAATTGAGAGCAATAGTGCACGATGTTCGGTTCAGTTCGCTCGCTCGTTCGTTCGTTCGTTCGTTCGGCCGTTCGCTTCGTCATGTTCGCTCACTCGTTCGGCTCTCGTCGCTGGCGCGCTGAGCAGCTCCACATTTGGAGGTATTTGACCGAAAAGTGGGTCACGACAATGGCTGGGTTCGTTGAACTGAACTGCCAGTCAGCCAGCCAACCTCTGCTGACGTCGTCGTATTATGTTGACGTCGTCGTCGTCGTCGTCGTCGTCGACGTCGTTTGGGACTTTTTGGTTACGTAGCCTTCCAGCATGTGTCGTTGTGCAGCGGGGAAGCTGGTGGGGGCAACGCATTTCTGTGTTGCCTCTTACGTTTTGTGTGGCCTCAAAAAATAAAATAAAATACAACAAAGTAAAACAGAAGAAAGCAATAAATAAAAAGAGCGCGGGAACGAAATACATATTATTTAATATTATTAATAACGAGGCGTAAAATTTTTATAGTTCACAAATGATTTGAGCACATTTTTTGTGTTAAATAATCGGGCAGTCTTCTCGCCTAGCTGCACATTGGGTCATAATTGGGGCAACATTGTTTGGCCAACGATTTGTATCGTCAGTGATTAATAGGTTGAGTTGGGAAATTGTAATCCCCCACACTTGACAGTCTCTGGAAACATGCTCGAGTTCGAAATCTACACAGACTGCCCACCCAAAAAAAATAGCTTACATGCGCGCTGAGAGCTGTTCCACATCTGAGATCCTCTTATGCCTGTCATATTTATTGATAGCCCTACCCCCGATATTAACGTGACCCCCCTGCCGCCCACACTCAATATCAATTAATCTTATTTGTCACTCATGTTTGAAAACAAGCACGCCACACACACACACACACACACACACGCACAAAAATGTTCTAAGCCCCTTTACGAACGCAAAGCATCAAACAAACTTCATACACCTACACACACAGGCATATGCATGCACATTTGTGTGTGTGTGTGTGTGTGTGTGCACAACATGTATGCTGGCATTGTTGTTGCTGCTGTTATCAAACAAAGCTGATCAGTCAGGTGGCAGTAGCAGAAGCTACCTAAAATCTGCGTCGCGTAGGTGTTCCAAGAATTGTTTACAATACAACAAAAAAAAAAAAAAAAACAACGAAAAAAAAGCGCCCCCAACAAATGCAGCAGCAGCAACTACAGCAGCGCCAGCGCCAGCGGCGTCTATTGTTAGCTGCCCGCGTCGACGTCGGCGACAGCGTTGGAGTGAATGTCCTCAGTTGGTGCACAAAAACAAAAACAATATGTGGCGCGAGGTTGGCAGCAGCAGCAGCAGCAGCAAGTAAGCGAGAGAGCGAGAGCGCGAGTGAGCAAGAGATAGAGCGAGAGCGAGAGCGAGCCGACGCCAGCCAAAGCTTGAGCCGAACCCGAACCGCATCGAGCAGCCAGCAAGAGTTGTTGGAACTGTTGGCGCTGCTTTCATTCGCAAATTGCTCGTCGTTGGCAGCGGTTGTGCAGAGCAAGAAAAGCGCGCGTAACAGAATAAACTGAAACTGAAACTAAAACTAAAACTGAAAAAAAAAAACGGCAAATAAGAGCAACTAGAACAACGTTACAACTAAAAAGCTAGCAACAAATAGTTTAAATAATCATATATCAATCATATTGTTATTTTTATTGGTGCCAGTGCAGTGAGAGAGTAAAGAAAGAGAGAAAGAGAGCGAAAGAGAGAGATCATTAAGACTTCCATATCCGTTTCTTGTGCCCGGAAAGCGCAGCAAAATTTTTGGCGCTCAAATTGTTGGTGAAGTGCATTTGATAAATTGAGTTTCAAGTTGAAAGCAAACGCAAACGCAAACGCAAAAGCAAAAGCAAACGCAATGTTCCTTAATAGCAAATTGTAGAGCAAAATCAACAGAGATCTAGATCGGCGAAGAGCGAAGAGAGAGAGAGAGAGAGAGAGCGAGAGAGAAGTTCAAGTGTCATTGTGGTACCAAAAAGAAAAGTTTAATTTTTAGCAAAAATGGTTTGTGCAATGGAACAGCAGCAGCAGCAACAGCAACAGCAGCAGCAGCAGCAGCTACAGCAACAGTTGCCACAACAGCAGCAGCAGCACAGCACAACAATTGTGCTGCTGACAGCCGGCAACAGCAATGTGCACATTGTCAGTGCACCGCAGCAACATCAGCAACAGCAGCACCAGCAGCAACAGCAAATCAAAAGCCAACAGCTGAAGCAGCAACACTCGGCATTGGTCAAGCTGCTGGAGTCAGCGCCGCTTAGCAAACAACAACAGCAACAACAACAACAACAGCAGCAGCAGCAGCAGCAGCAACACCAGCCCAGACAAATAGTTTACCTGCAACAGCAACAGCAACAGCAACGCAAAAGACTGAAAAACGAAGAGCAACAACTGCAACAACAGCAACAACAAACACCTGCAACATTAGTAAAGACAACCACCAACCAGACAACAAGAAACACAACAAATAGTATTAGTCAGCAGCAGCAGCAGATTGTATTGTTGCTGCAACAGCCAACAGCAACAGTCGCAGCAACAGCAACAGCAACTGTGACAGCAGCAACACCAAAGCCATGCGCCGATCTGAGCGCCAAAAATGACAGCGAATCGGGCATCGATGAGGACTGTGCGAACAGCGACGATGATATGCCGCCCAAGGCCAATGTTGGCGGCGGACCAGCAACAGTTGCTGCCGTCGACTATGAGCAGTATCAGTGCCCCTGGAAGAAAATACGCTATGCGCGGGAGCTCAAGCAGCGTGAGCTGGAGCAGACGACATTGGCGCGGCAGCAACACGATGACAAAACAATCACAGCGGCAGCAACAACAGCGGCAACTGCAACAGCAGCGGCAGCAGCAACAAGACCCACCAGCAACAAGCTCAATCAACTGCATTGTGATAGTCCTTTTTCCGCGCAAACACACAAAGAAATTGCCAATTTGTTGATGCAACAAACTCAGCAGCAGCAGCAACAGCAGCCCCAGCAACAACATCAGCAGCAACACCAGCAACAACAACAGCAGCAGCAGCAACAGCAACAGCGACGCGATAGCTCGGACAGCAACTGCTCGCTGCTGAGCAACTCGAGCACCCAGTCACTGACAAATGGCATTGGCAATTGTTGCACGTGCAACAGCAACAGCAGCAGCAGCAGCAGCGACGAGGATCAGCAACACAAACAGCTCGAGGACATGGATGCCCAGGACTCGGGCTGCGATGATGAGCTATGCGAGCAGCATCACCAGCGCCTCGAAGCCTCACAGCTCAATTATCTGTGTCAAAAGTTTGACGAGAAGCTGGACACGGCATTAAGCAACAGCAACAACAGCAACAACAGCAACAGCAACAACAGCAATGCAGGAGCAACAAAATCGACAGCAGCAATCGAGGATGCCAGCGCTGATGTAGGTGGCAAATGAGTCTAATAACAATTGAATTCTCATTTGAAACGTATTTCGATTTGACTAACATATATATCATATATGTATATGTTGCTCACATTTTAAAACTTTGTTCCCCAATGAAAATACAATTTTAGTTAATATTTGTTGATAATTAATATTAATATTAGAACCTTATTTAATTGCAAATATTTGATTTATATCGTTGCAGGGCTTCTTCCGACGCTCCATACAGCAAAAGATCCAATATCGCCCTTGCACCAAGAATCAACAGTGCAGCATTTTGCGCATCAATCGCAATCGCTGTCAATATTGTCGCCTGAAAAAGTGCATTGCCGTTGGCATGAGTCGTGATGGTGAGTAGTAGCCCATTTTGATAATGCCTAACTCTTCTAATCGTATCCTCGCGCGCTCTTATACACGCATGTGTGTGCGCCAGCGAGTCAAGCTCAAGCATATTAAATAAGCAATAGAAGAAACAGAAACAACAACTATTACGCTAAAAACCGAAGCATAACGAAACCTAACGAACGACACACAACGAAAGACGAGCGCGACAGCCGATAGTCGTTGAGTTCATTGACCAGCCATGAACGAAATTTTAGTTGGCTGGGTGTGCTTGTGTGTGTGTGTGTGTGTGTGTGTGTGTATGATTGTGTGTTGCAACATTTGTGTAGCGCGCGCGATTTCACGGCAAAGTAAAAGTTGTTAGCAGCCTGCCCTGAAAAAGCACACGCACAAACACACACCAACACATACAAGCGCAAACTATATGTAAATTTTGTTTAAACAAATTTCCAACACCCGCATGATAAATGGGAGCAGCAGCAGCAGCAGCAGCAACAACAACAACAACAACAACAGCAACTGTGCGCCATTTCGAAATTGTGTTAAAAGTTGAATGAACGCACTTAACCTAAATTCATAAAGGCAGCGAGGCCATGCCTACAACACAGGCCTCTCTCCCGCTCTCCCGCTCCTGTTCTCTCACACCGTGTCACAATTACTCATTGTGTTACGACTGAAGCATTTGCTTTTATTAAATTTTGTAATAATTTGTTTAAATTAAGCGCAAGCCTGGAAAATTGTACAGGAAATGCCGCGACGTCTATATCGATTATGAAAGCAGGCAATATAAATGCATATAAAAATGCAACAACAAAAGAAATAACTCACACAAACACACACACACACACACACACATGTACACGTACACGTTCATTGACTTTTGCCAGTCCGCCGTTGAGCTCTTCTTCTTTCTACATATAATGGCGGCCATGTTGCTGTCGAAAACGAAAGTGGTTCATGTTGCGTGCTTGTGTGTGAGAAAGAGAAAGAGAGAGAGAGCTGCTCAGTCGTCGCTGTGGCTGTTTTGTAGGCAGCACGCAGACGCAGCCTGTGCCTAATAACATTGTAGTAGCTGCTGCTGTTACTGTTGCTGTTGTTGTTGTTGCTGCTGCTGTTATTATGCTACTTGTACATGTTATGTTGTAATTGATGAATTGGATTTTGTTTTTTGTTTTTCTTTCTTTTCGTTGTTTTCTTTTGTGATGGGGCGCGTGCTGGACAATTGGGAGAAACGAAAATGCAGGGTTTGAGCACGCGTTAATAATGTTAATGTGCATGTTTTGTGCTGCTCTTGAATACCTTTTCTACTGTAGCATAAATATATTTAAAAAAAAAAAAAACTACTGACAGCGAACACAGACTAATAAACCATTGATAATACTACTATTTAGAAATTGGCAAATCCTTGAACTAGTTCTACCCAGCATTAATGCCAAAAATCTCAATAAAAAACTACAACTAAAACTAAAGCTAAAAAAAAAGATACGCTACAACTGCCATGAAAATAAACAGCAGCGAACTCAAACTCGGCAACAGCCACGAACAAATTTCGAATTGTTTATAATAAAAATGACCGTGTGCTATTTAAGCGCAGTCGCCGCTGGCGTCGACAGCGCTGCCCTCGCTTGCCTTATCTTTCAAGGAAAATTAAATTTATACAAACACACACACGCACACACACACATGCATACATGCATGCATATGTGGGCTGTTGTCGAAATATTTACAGTTACTTTTGAAAACAAGCACTGACCTAGAAATTGTGGAAGCCGAAAATTGATAATTTTTGTGTTTTATTTAACGCATCTCCATTATGCACAGTGCATAATATGCAAGACTTTCACTTATCCATTTGGCCATTTCGAAACACTTTCTTTTTACGGCTTTCATAATTTCTTTTCGTGTGTAGTAATATTATTAGGCGCCATTTTGTTTGGCTTTGCCTATTGCAAAGATACGAAAATAAACGCAAGACGCGCCGTCAAAATGAAAACGAAACCGAAATTTAGCGCATACACGCACACACACACACACACACACCACACACACTCTCCCATGGATAGAGCGCCCCCCAAAAAAATAAAAGCAACAGCAACAAACACGAACCAGGCGACAGCCGCTGCCCGCGTGCTCTCTCTCTCTCTCTCTCGCTCTCTCTCCCCCACAAAGCATTCAGCCTCGACAGCAGCGCTCAGTTCATTGACCGACGAAACTGGGTCACCCAAAGCAGCGACGCAGCAGCTGAGCAGCAACAGTGAAGGTGCTTGAGAGTATGCGCGTGTGTGTGTGTGTGTGTGTGTGTGTGTGCGTGTGTGTGCGTGTAAGTGCGCTTGATAGTAAACAAGCTTTTTTTTTTACTCATTTTATTTGTTCATTTTGCATTTGCTTTATTTTGATTTTTTGAATTGTTTAAATTTGTAGCTGTCGCGGAACAGGCATAGAAATATTTGCAGTTATTTATTTTATTTTCTTAAAGATTTTTATTAGTTTTCATATGCAGCACACAAGTAGCATGTGGCTTTTAATTAAAATGAACTTAAATTAGCGCGAGGCTAACTAAATTGAAAGTAAATATGCACTCAAATCAAACAGGCTCAGTGTGAGATCTTAAGCGGGGTAGTGCAATACAGAGAGAGAGAGAGAGAGCAAGCTGCTTTACAGTTATGATTTTGGCAAAAGCTTTGCAATTTTAAGAAGTATTCGACTCGAATTGGCCAAAGCTGAATAAATAATTAAAAGCACACACAAAAATTAAATTCAAATGAATATTCTTGTATCTCAACAACAACAGCAACAAATGGCTAACAATTATCATTGTTGTTAAGGCAAAGCATATAAAAAAATAATCAGACAATTGTCAATTATCGAAAGCACAATTTTTTTAATTTTTTTTTTACTATTATTTTTATTATAGTTACGTATAAGTGTATGCATGTGTGTGTGTGTGTGTGTGTGTGTGTGCACATGAACAAAAGCTACAAGCAGTAAGCAACTCAGTGACGTTTTTGTTGTTGTCGCAATCATTATTATTTTGAGGCTACACACACACACACACACGGACAGAGACAGAGACATGCACACACATGTAGATTTCGCCTTGCCGTCATCGTTGTTGCCGCTGCGAGTGTTTTGAACTTTATTCAGGTCAATTACAAATACATTAAAATGCCAGTGCTACACACACACACACACACACACACACACACACATACGTGCAAGGCGAGATGTTGACTAAAATAATATTGGAGGCTACCAAACAAAATGTACAATATGACAATAAAAGTGTTTCGCCCCCGGGGGATGGTTGCATTGGATTTGAAGTCTGGCTGGGTTTCTGTGCGGGTGACCGGACCCCTGGGAGTCCAGGCTGAGCTCAAATGCTGGGGTCAAAGCTTCAAGTACAACTAGCCAATGATTAGCTTGATGATAATGAAGCGGACGATAATGAAGCCAATGATAATGAAGCCGATGATAATGATGATAGTGGCGAGTGCAATAATTGAATGTGGGCGAGGTTCGTTCTCAATGCAATTCGATTCATTGCAGTGCAGTTGTGGGTTTCTAAGGTGTGAGCTCCAGCTGGAAGGTTAACCAAACGTTGCGCTATTGAAACTCGTATGCGCATGCATAAGAGTTGTCGCACATAATTTTTTGGTTTACTTATTATACAATTTACTTTTGTTTCTTGTCATCAGTGAAATCATTTTACGCGTGACACGCATCATCAACACTTAAATGAAACGGCGACACGTTTGCTTGCTCTTTCTCTCGCTTTCTGTTTATGTCCCTGGCTGTGTTACATAAAGTCGTGCGTCGTGTGCGCTTCACCTGCCTTTGGTTTAACGGTGAAATTGCAAAGGAAAGAGCGCAAAACAAGGCAGTCGAAAGCAGCGACTGCACAAAACGTAACAAACTTGTTTTACACGGCGACGTCGACGTCGCGGTCGACTTCGACGTTGCCTACTACGCAAGTTGAACCTTCAAAAGGTTCATTTACCTCGGCGAACGAACGTCCAGCGAGCGCCAAACGAAAGAGCAGCCGCCATCAGTCCCAGTCCCACGAGCACGAACGAGACGAGCGCCACACACACACACACACTCACACACTCACACACACAGACACACACACGAGCGACGGGCGGCAGAAAAATGTACTTTCGCTTTTTCAATGCCTCGGCGTCAAACTAGTTTCAAGCTCCAAGTGGAGCCGAGCCACAGCCAACATTGCTGCAATGCCTGTGATGTCGACGACAGCGACGCCGGCGTTGCTGCCGTTTTGGGGCACAGTTAAACGACCGACACACGGCGAGTTCAACGACTCTTGTAAAATTTCTCGAAGGTTTCGCATTGCAACATTAGCGACAGCGTCGCAACTTGTTCGACTGCAGCAGCAGCAGCAGCAGCAGCAGCAGCTGAGCAGCACTGCATTTGCATAGGCTCTCCCACTCTCTGGCTCTCTTGCGTGCACACACACACACAAGCTTAAGCACACACGTTGTGTGCTCTCTTGTGTGTGCTGAATGCTGTTCATTGCACTCGGCCTCATTTTGACTGCGCGCTGCGCTTTTTCTTGCTGCAATTTTGTTTTTGCACTCTGACGACGTCGACGTCAACGAGCCAACGAGTGAGCGAGAGAGCGAGCGAGCGAGCAGGCATTTGTCGCCTTTGTTGGCGAGTGCAGCGACTTTTATTTGGGTCAGGCACGGTCATTCGCCTCAGTCGCAGCGCAGCGTTCGAGTTCGCGAGCTGCAATTGCAATTGGCGGTTGCCTTGGCGCGCATTTATTTGAAAATGATTATGAGCAGCAAAATCAAAAAAAAAAAAAAACTAAAAACAAAATGAGAAAAACAAAATGCGAGGTCCGCTCGCTGCTGACATTCCCTTGGTGCGTTCTGTTATATGCGTTCATATACTATAATATATTTATTTTATTATTATTTTTTTTTTGTACCATTTTTAACAAGTATTTAAATATTTACATGTAGCCTCACCTTAAGCCAGTCAAGAC